CACTGGTTTAATTAGTTGCCTGCACAGTCACATATATGCATGCATACATAAAGTCATACACACATGCATGTATATGTGTGCCCACACTTATGTACATAAATGTTTTTATACCCATGCAGCAAACTCACATATACAAATGTACATATACACAGTCACAGACCCATTCACAGGGATGGTCATTCCCTCCCCTGTCCACAAACCAGAAGTCCATATTCTCTCCAATTAATAAGTAATTGCAAACTTGCAAGTCTCCCACTTCTCCATTTGGAAAGGTATTTCTGTTATCAATAGGACATACTCACTCCTGGACACATCCCATTCTCACCCACTCTCAGGGAGAAAAAAAAAAAGTCAATTTAAAAGAAGAGTTCTGAAATTCCCTTGCTGCATGCATGGAAAAACCAGAACTTGCTCAGACAACTTGGGTGAGGTAACAACAAAATTAGTGTATCCCTTCCCACCCAAGAAGCTCCCCCGAAAATACAGCCCCTTAATTTTAAAAAGGGAAATATCAATGCCAGAGTCCTTCCTCCAAGAACGTCTGGGTATGACCCACCACTCCCAAACTCCAAAACAGATATAACAGATCTTAAGGCAGAGGAAGAAGCAGGAAGGGAATTAGCTCCAGTCCTGAAACCTCCTGAGATACCCTTCTTCTACCCCAGAGGAGACCTTCATGATGTCCAGTGAACCCCTCTCATCCCAGCCTGAGGGCCCTGCCCAGGGAGAGGGGAGACCAGGAGGCTAACAAAAGTAAAAGAGTGACCTGGGTTTAGAATAACAAAAGAAGCAAATGTTTAAAAACAGGAGCCAGTCAGAGAACAGGGAGGCAAGCCACAGACACTCCTGGCAGGGAAGCAGCTGCTGGAACACTGGATCATGAATAGCAGGACTCTCCAAGGGGCCAGGGAAAAGGGGGTGGACATCAGCATTCCATGTGGGGGTGGAGGGGTGACTGCTTCAGGCAGTAGCAGCAGTTCCAAAGTAAAGTCTTATCAAAGCTGTTATGTAACTAAGGGAGCTGAGTAGAGCACAAACACCTCCCCTCCCCAAACAGGCACCCACACCCACACCTACCACCTCCCAGCACCCACAGCATAAGAAAACTCAGCTCCTCTCAAGCAGCCAGAGAAGAGAGGAATCATCTTGATGAGTTACATCAAAAACATGATGGGTGAAGGGCTCCTTATTAACTAGAAGTCACATCTGGGAAGGGAGGAACTGGTTCAGTTTGAGATCCCCTAGATATCTCTCCCTCGTCTTTAACTCCCCACCACACCCAATTTCTGCCCAGTAGCATCTGGAAACCCTTTCCTTCCTCTCCCTCTAAGAAGGATCCCATTTGAATATTTGATTGTGCTCTTGAGGATGGGAGGTGAGCTGCCATCACCCCCTCCTGCCTGTTGTTCCCCCACAATCTCATCTGCATGTCCTGACATTTGGCTCTCATCCCCCTGGGACAAGGGAAGGGACCTGGAGAAATAACTCCTAGCTCTAGTCCCTTCACAGTTATGAAGACAAAGCAGAAGAACTCAGATAATTGCAATGACCCTGACTGTAGGTTAGTGAGGAAAAGATACCCAGGGAAGCTAAGGACTGAAACCCAGAGCTCATCCCTCAATTTGAATATTTTAACTCCTCCAGATCTTCCTCTTTTCCTACTGCCCTGTCTCCAGTAGCCTCCTCCTTCTCTTCTCCATGGCACTGAACAACCCCACCCACTCCTTGATTCCTTTGCTTAGAAATCTTCCTCCCCAACAAAAGTCTTTCCCAAATGCTGCTCCGAGCTAGGGCTGGGGATGGGCAGAGCACAAGAGAGATTTGCAGAATTTTTCAGCGTCCCTGTCCTGAATTCCAAAGTCTGATGAGCATGAGGATACCAACAAAATCATCCTGAACTCCTGAGTGCTGTCCACGCCAGGAGTAACCAGCAAGACCCAAGTTCTCTTAACCTAGAACTGCCTTGAGCCTGAACTTTTGGAACCCAGTAGGAGAGAGGCTGGTGAAAGTACCCCTGAGCTTGTTGCACTAAAAATTTCCCCAGGGGAAGAGATCTCACAGCCACAATTTCATCTTCCATCCCTACCCTCCTCCCCTCAGAACTGTAGGATGGTTTTAGAAGAAGGGGGGTGAGCAAACAGGGAAAGGGGAGTCCCTTTTCCAAATACCACTAACAACTGTGAGGCCTAAATCCACGGACGGGACCCCAGAATATTTATTTCTAGCCAAGGACTCTGCCCTTGGAAAGTGGGTCATCTGGGAGAAATTTTCTAGGGAGCCTTCAGCACTGTCCGGCCGCCTTTTCATCCTCGTCCCGAACGCAGCCCAGTTCAGCACTCGAGACAGCTCCTAAGCAGCAAATCCTATAGAACCCAGTTCAGCACTCGGGACAGCTCCCAGGGACATTCCGGCCCCTCCAGAGACCCAAAAATGCCAGGAAGGAGCAGGCTTTCCCCACCACACACCTTCTTTAGAGCCAAAGCCCCTCTTCCCTACCTCTCCCACACTCACTTCCAACCACCGGGGGCACCTGATACCCCTCCCTTCCCTCTACGTCCCAAGAGTGGAAAGAAACCCCGACCCTGAGCTTTCTGGAGGGAGCCTAGAGACAGGACCCCACCCACCTCCTTTCAGCCCTGAGCCTCTCAACGCCACTCACAGCTGGTTCTAAAAAACACTTTCCTTCTTAACCACTACCCCAAAAATAAAAGAAATACTCACGTGGGGGCTCCCAGCCCTGTAGGCAGATGTGCTGGGGGGAGGCAGAAAGAGGTAGCTCCCCACACCCTGTTCTGAGCCCCCTTTCTGAAGGAGCCAGCTCCCATCTGGACTGGGGGGAGGAGAGAACGTGGAAGCACTGAGTGAGGGGAGGGGAGAGGGGAGGAGGCAGGAGCGGGGGACTGTGGGGCGGGGGTGTCGGGTTGGGGGCGAGGGAGTCCTTTTTAATTTCATTCTCTCCCCATGTCTACATCAGCCCTGCAGGCTCAGCTCTTTAATATTTACACACAGGAAGAGAAGAGGATGAGAAATAACGGAGTGAGGGGGGCAGGGGCTACCTGAACTCAAAGGGCACAGAGGCAGAGGCCTTTGGGAGCGAAGAGCTTGGGCCCCCCACACTGTCCCCAGCCCACTCCCATTCTGAGCTCTTGACTGGAAGGGAGAAGAAGGAACCCTGGGACCATTCTGTCCCTTTGTTAACAAGACACTTTGAAGCTGCATCAGAAAAAGATCAGATCCCCACCCACATACCTGGACACCCCCACAAACCCAGATTTCTTGGGTGCCTTATGTACAGATGGCAGAGGCAGTACTCATGCACAAGCATGTTCTGATGCCTGGAGTATGCTTGCCTGTGGGCTGCTGTGTAAAAGTACATGAACATGTCAGCTAGCATGTACAAGTTTACAGGAAAATGTTCTGAGTGCATTCACATGTTACCAGCCCATGCAATTAAACTGTGTGACTATGTGTGTGAATCAAGCAACCTCTCCTCCCTGTCCTTTGCTCTCTAACTACAGTCCCAGGGAAAAGGCCACCTACCTCCCCAGATTGCTTTCTTTCTAGGCCCCTCCCTCACAGCCTCACTTTTTCTGTCTGTGACATGGGAAGAAAGACTGGTGGGAAGGGATGCTGCATTAAGCCCAGGGGCCTGACAAGTTATTAGCAACGATGAGCTGGCAGCTCGTTACCATAACGATGGTGCCACCGCCTCACCCCAGCTCAAACCCAGACTCCCCAGACGGCAGGAGGCCCGCTGAGCCAGCAGCCTTCAGACTGGAAGGGGGGGTGGATAAAGAGGGAATTGAGACATAATGCTTGCATAGAGGAGGGTACGCAGCTGTTCTTCCCACCCCCCGCTGGGAGACAAAGCTTTGACTCCACGAAGTGGGAATGATATCAGAATCTGGGAAGGTTTCCTGACCATGGGGATGTAAGACACTGGAGGAAGTCTTTGGAAGCCCCTTTCAACAAAAGCTCCTGTTATTTGCTCCCTCACCCCCTCACTCCTACCAACCAACCAAATAGGAAACTTCTCACTGAATTTCTGTCCCCTCACCTATAAAATAGGGACAATCATAATCATCATATGCCCTTAACTCCTGGAAGATTGAATCAGAAAGGTTTTAGAAGTAACTATAGACCCTCCCTAAATCAGATAAGCCCCAGAAGTTTTTCTACCTATCAGAAACCAAGGGAAGTGTCAGCCCAGCTAGAGGCAAAATGTACCAGAAACTGGGGGGCAGTGGGAAGCTCAGCCAGCTCAGGCCCCAACATCAGCTGGAGGACATGTGAGGTGCCAGGCAGCTGCTGACAGCAGGCACTGACACAGAAGAATGTCTAGGACTAAGGCCTGTAGCAGCTCCAGCCCCTTTACCATCAGGAACTCAGACTAGCCCTGGCCTGCCTCTGCAGCAGGTATGGCTAGGAATCCCCATCCCCAGGAATATCTTTAGCATCCCCTCTTTGGAAAGGAGTCCCAGGTTAAAGGGTCTACAGCCTTAGAGATATTGACTCTTCATTACTTCTCCCCAAATCCCCTATACTCAGCTTTGATGGGGGTGGGGAGTTCAGGAATAGAAGGCCACCTGGGGGGTTAGAAAGTTCCTTGGCTAAGGCTAGCCTTGGAACCCACAAGTTTGTTTTGTGACCTTGGGCAGATCCACTCCCTGCTCTTGGCTTCAGGGTCCCCAGTGTGTAATTAAGAGTTTGGACCATGTCAATTCTAAGATTCCTTCAATGGCCATCGTTCTGTATAACTACATATAAGCTCACTCTTTGGACGTGAGCCCCCTGGCACAAAAAGCGGTGGGCACTGCCTGCCAGATCAGTGGGGCAGTGGGGGTGGGGATGCGGGGGCTGTGTCTGAGGCTGTTCATCCTATGTTCATGTTCCTTTTAGAAACACCTGCCACCCTAGCCCTCCCAGCTCCCTTTTTAGACCCTGATTCACTGCCAACTCACGAAGCCTCTCCCTCCCTTCCCTCTTTTCTCCCTCTCTCCCTTTTAGGCATTGGCAGCTGGGTGCACAAGTAGCCCCAGCATTCAGGAAATGCTGGGCAGAGGTGGAGGGCAATGCCCCCAGTGTCAGAGAGCACACAACAGGGAGTGCCACTCTCTAACCCTGGTCCAGTTCAGTTCCTTGGGTCAACAAAAGATAAGTTGGAGTCTTTCTGTACCACTGACTAGAAATGTGTGATTGTGGGAAATGGAATTCATCTCTCAAACCTCAACATTCTCATCTGTGAATTGGCATTATATTAGCTTGACACATGTGAAATGGCTGTTTTTGTAGGTTAAAATAGAACCGTGGATATTGGAAATTTCATATGGCTTAACCTGATACCTGCCCTGCCTGTTCCTCAAGGCTTTTGGAGAAATAAAGAGTTGAGAGAAGAGCATTTTCAAAAGTCCTGGACTGATACAGAGGCGTTGTATTATTATTACTTCAAGGAGCTCAGTACAGACACACCTGGAGCCAGTGGGTTGAACCAATGACCCAGAACTTGGAGATTTGGGGCTTGGAACTCTGGGAGAGAGCCACCTGCTCTGATGACTAACAATAGACCAGACACTTCCACCTGGCCTCCTCAGCTTCTGGCTCTAAAGGGCCTGAGGTGACACAAGCTCCCAGGCCCCAAGAAGGAGAAACAGCACATACAGGCACACAGTCTTCAGCTCCAGGCCCACCACCACCACCAGCAGAGCCCTGCATGCAGGAAGGACACAACCAGTAGCACCATAGAAGATGCCCCAAGGTAGGTGAATGTGGAGACCAATGTAGGGAGTGTCATGAGGCTCTTGTCTGAGTCCAGGATAAGGAGTCCCTAGAGAGAAGGGATGATCTGACCTCTGAGAAGTCTGATTTCCCTGTTCCAGGTGCCACATCCCACCAAGACTTGGTAATGTGGGGGGACAGGATGGCAAAGACCAGGTGTGGGCAATTTAGAGTGAACCCTGCTCAGATACATTCTCACACAGCCAACACACACACACACACACACACACACACACACACACTCTCAGTCACGCAGACCACAGATACCCGGACCCTTACAGTCAGCCACACAGGCACGCACACACGGGCACACACACACTCACAGAAACATACACAGCCACACACAGTGGCAACACACACACACTCATTCACACACATGTCTACAGACACATGTACAGTAATACCCTCGTTGCATACAATCACTGCACGCACACACACTCATCCACAGTGACATACACTCTCTGCCACACAATCATCCACAGACCCACACGGTGACACACTCACACACTCACCACAGACACACAGTGACACGCACTCACACCTGCAGAGGAAACTTCTCTCCGGATCTCCCCAACATCACGACTTCCCCCCACAACCAAC